TCATTTACAATGTCAATTATATGATGAGTGCAATATAATGACATTTTCAACATCTTCACAAGCAAGTTATATAAGATAATCAACTCAACTAATATATTTGTATTCACTTAGGCATTTAAACAAACACCTAAAGAGTACATCAATTTACACAACTAGCATGCTTGTTCCTTCCAACATGGTAATATGTTTATTAATTTTATAAACATAAGCACACTTCCACTACACTAATTATATGTTAAATGGTCATTTAACATACATACAATTTCATACTCATATCACAAGCTAATAAGTCAATTAAGTTTGATATGTCATTTATACATCAAAGTCATGTTAATATATAATTAACATATTTTAAACCACTAATGTTACATATACCCAATTAATCATAACAGAGTTTCAAAAATTGAAGGATTAATTTTAAATTCAATATTTAATCCACTAACTAAACTAGTCAAGAGCTAAACATGTGATACACACAACCATAGCCTATCCAATTCATATGTCATATTCTAGACTGAGATTACATATAAATAGAGGAAACCCTACCTTTCGTACCATGAGCCCACGTGGTAGAACTCCCAAGAAAATCCTGAAATCTAGTTTCTCAAGCCTTGATTTAATCTTGAGCCAAAGTCTCAATTTTTGACAGATATCATAATTGAACGTGGTTGGTACCCACGCATAGCCCTCATTATTGTGAGCAACTTTAATACTTAATTTGAGTCAAGTCATTGCCCAGATCTTGCTAGATCAAAGAGAGAAGGTGGAGAAGCTTTATTTTCTTTTATTTTTCTTCTCTCTCTCACACACACTCTCTCTCTTTCTCTCTCTCTCTTCTCTCTTTCTGGCCGAAGCTTGTAGTAAAGAAAAAGTGAAATACTTCACTTTTTATATCCTTGAATGATTGGCTCATATCGCGCCCCACATTTAGTTTTAATAGGTTAAATTTTATTTTGAATCAATTAAATCTCGCACCGTATTAAGTTTAATATATTTTTATTCAATTAACTTCAAAAAAAAATTTTGGGTCTTGCAAATAAAATCTTATCACGATAATTTTTTGTCGCACGATACACGATCGCTTTGTAAAATATAAAAAATCTGACTGCTTCAAAATTCAATGAAACTTAACTGGGTAATTAGGTTTCACAAGACAAATCCAATTGTAAAGTCCATTTTTTCATCCAAGTCATATAAAATTTTGCGTTTTTTACAAGTGCTTTAACGGCTAATTACCGTTTTATCCTTTTAATTAAGATTTTTAATTTTCACAAGTTTCACAGTATGTGTTGTGTTTGCGGAATAGTTTATGTCCCAATGATGTAACATATTGGGATTACTTATTATACACACACATAATTACCCACATATTATAGCAATTGAATATCTCAAACACACACAGAGTGTACACACACACGCACCACTAACACACATAGACAAAACCACACACGTGCATACACACATGTAAACGGATACACGCAACGCAAACAGAAACCCTCAAAAAAAAGGCATAAGAAGAAAAGAGAAAGAGGGAGATAACACATACACACACACACACAATGCACATACCACACAAATAGAACAACAAGGGTGGCTTGATATATTTTGAGGCCTAAAACGATAAATTCAATTGAGACTTTTTTAAAATAAAATGTTAATAATAGTGTAAATTTTTTAATATATATATATATTTTTGGTTGCATATTAATTGTTTAGTATTCGTATTGAAGTTTTTCTAACATATCTTTTTTATTAATAGTATAATTAATTGACTTAATTTTTAAATTAAATAAAAAATTCAAAAACTTTCAAATTCAAAGATTATTTGACAGATTATGTTGTCTCGTCATTAACACTCTCATAAAATTATTTTTCTAAGAATTAGACATTAGTCACGAAATATATGTTTGATTAAGTTTTTCAAGATTATGATAAAAAGGGCAATATTACATGGACCTTATTTGACAACCTTATCATTTTTTGTTATTAGATTGACATTGGATCTTACTATTAGTTGAGACCCACTATCAACTCCACAGTTATGATCCATCACGTCACAAGATAAGATAATTAAATTAGGTACAATATATATATATATATAT